TACTTGTATGTGAATTTCTAGAAAGCCCATCTGGCATAGCCAGAAAATCAGTGGATTGAGTCAGGTGCTTTTTAGCGCTTCTGACGTTATGTTGTCCCAGTCTGATAAAATATTTTGATGATTGTCCCTATGATGAGGGGGTGGAGGAGGGTGATTTGAACAAAAGAGAAAGAAAAATGGGTGGTATTCCAGTAACCATAACTACCAGAGGACAAAATTGGCCATCAGGTTTGTTAATTAGAAACTGTACTTTTGTAACTTACTCATGTGTGTCTGGATACTCACTCTTCCTAAGGTGTGTGGGTTTGTGTGTCAATAATGGTGTGTTTCACATTCATACCAGTGTGTATGTGTTTGAATGTATATACAGCTCTGTGTGTGTGTGTGTAATGCTTCATATGACTTGTGTAGTGGTCAGCAATCTGGTGGTCCCAGGTGCAATCTTTGGGCAGAGTGAAACTGTGGGCAAGCTTCATTATTTTATTTTCCTCTATTTTCTCAGCAGTATTTCTGAACCTGGATATTCAGTTTGAAAGTTGTTTTCCAGAGTTAGCCAGTGCAGCTGGCAAGTTCTCCGGTCTTCTTGGATTATTCCTTGACATTAGGTCATACAGCTCATTAACTCAGGGTGTGGTTTGTGGTGGCGACAACTTAAAACAAATTCATCCCTAGGTGGTCCTAGGGCCACCCAGCTGCAAACATCCATTGTGTGTGTGTGTGGTGTGTGTGAGTGTTTATTTATTTGTTTGTTTCTTTGTTTGTTTATGTATATATTTATTTTGGTGTGTGTCCATATACTGTACTGTATGTTGGTAAGCATGAGCACAGCTGTGCCAGTGTATATTGTACAGTACAGTATGCAGAAGAAGCACTTTTGAAAGAGGGGGTGACCCTTGACTAAGGCTAAATCTTCTTCAGGTATGCTGGGAGGCGGGAGTTGCCAGACAACCTTAAGGTTTTGTTCCGGACAGTGGCCATGATGGTGCCGGACTATGATATGATTGCCAAGATTGTCCTCTTCTCCATGGGATTTGTCCAGGCAGACAGGTTAGTCCAACACTGCTCTTGCTATTTTGACCTTAATTGTGTAATTAACTAATGGAGATAGACTTGAGATAGACTTAAGAGTGTGTCCTCTGAGGGGCAATATAAGCTAGATCTACCTAGAGCACAACTGCCTACCTCTTTACAGCAACTACAAAATAACTCGCTTTTTGTCTTCCATTGTACTGTATATGGTATATTGTCAAAGGTAAAAGAGGGCAACTAGATCTAATTCATGGATCTTATCCTGCTTTTCATGCATCAATCCAGTGCAATTATCACAACTAATAATTATAAGAAATTTCCAGTTAAACCATCTTTTGTTATACCCAAATAGCCAAGGTTTTATAATTTTTCTTATATCATTAATATTTGACACACACCATATTTATTATGACTAACTAACTTATAGTTAGAGAATTTGCATTCATAATCAAACAGTTTTCATTCTTCTAACTGTGAATATCGAGGACATCATTTTGGCCTTTAGAGACAAACAGAGAATACTTGTCCACAGTGAGTTCTGATAGGAGTTAAAACTTCTTAATTATTGCCATATATTCATGATCAGTTAAAAAAGTTTTCTCTGATGTACCGGCATGTGGCAGCTTGGCACGGAAAATCATCGACACATATCGGCTGTGCTCAGAGCAGCTATCTTCCCAACACCACTATGACTACGGCATGAGAGCTGTCAAAGCTGTCCTACTGGCTGCTAACAATCTCAGACTCCTCATGCCAGACATCTCCGAGCCACAGGTTGTCCTCAGGGCCATTAAGGATGTCAACCTGCCAAAGTTTCTAGCTCAGGTGGGTCTGTTGTAGGTCACTCAGATGATTCATCATGTAATTTATTCCTTTGACTTTGATGGAATGAAAGTTAATGTGTGTTAGATGGTTGATGACATGTGTTAGACAGGTGATGATTCATGTCAGGTGTTACAGGACGTGCCGCTGTTTGAAGGTATCGTGCAAGACTTGTTCCCGACGGAGAGAAACACCACAATAGTGCCAGACGCGGCCCTTGAGGCCTCGCTTCTCAAGACCATGGCAGAAAATAACCTCCAGGTTGGTGTCGCTCGATAAAACTTGATAAAGATCACATCAGTGGTTCAAACTTGATATGATAATTTTTGTGTGTGTGTGTGTGTGTGTGTGTGTGTGCGTGCAGGTGCATGCGTGTGCGTGCGTGCGCGCGCAAAGAAGATGATAATGATGAGTCTGTTGCCTAAAAATTTGTGTCTTGCTAACTTTGACCCCTTGAACATGTCCAAAATTTCATGTGTGCTAAGGAGATTTATACATACTATACTGTATTCCTAACACATGAACTCTTCTACATTTTTTAGTTCATAGATTCAGAGTTGGTGTAATCCAAATTTTAGGCTAATAGACTCATCACATGGATCTAAAAAAAATAACTTGGAACTCATAATATGAGCTTTGAAGTTAAGTATTAATAAAATATACGGGAATCTGTTGATGTGGGTAGCATTTTAGCTAAAGTTTCTCTCATAATTCAACGATCTTCTATGATTATATAAACATTCATTTTCGATACAAATTTAAGCACTTCGTCTGCTACAGAATAACATAACTATATTGGATAATTCACGACCTCAAAGACACGTAATTTAAGTACCATAACCTAGTGTAACTCAGTGTACTGTACTATGACCTTACCTAACTTTGACCACCAAAGCAATACCACTCAAATATAACTTTTATCACTGCACTTAATAAATAAGCAACTGGGGTCTGGAAAGTATGCATGATAAGTTATCATGCATAAGTCTACACCAAACATTATGTTTTGGGTAATCATAAATGTGGTGGAGAATATAGTTCTTTTGATGGAGGAGAAGATATGGTGGTGCAGAAGGTAACTATAGTAGTACTGGAGGAAGTTATAGTGGTGCACAAGGTAGATATAGTGGTGCAAAAGGTAGGTATATTGATAAAAGCATAGGAGAGACAAGGATCTAACACCTGGATACCATCTTTCAGGACGTGCCATGGTTCCGAGAGAAGATGTTACAGTTATATAACATGATCCTGGTACGTCACGGCGTCATGGTGGTGGGTGAGCCCCTCAGTGGCAAGACCAGTGCCTACCAGGTATGTGTCATCAAGCCACAGGAATACGAGTGTCAGGCTGTGGTTGGGGGATGTCTTCCATTTCTGTTCTAGTGATATTATCAAAGAGTGAATTGTGTTCATGGACAAATATTCTGAGATAGAGGCATCCCGCTGTGCACTATTTTTTTTCTCAAGTGCTATCTTCAGGAACTTTTCTCTAATCCAAGCAAAAGGTATTAACTGATACCAAATACAGTATGTTTACTTCCTAAAAGATGCTAAAATTGAATTTTCTGGTCAAATATCCTCTTAAAAAAGAAGTTTTCGAGAGAGAATGGTGTTTTTAGGATAGTGTAGGACTGATTTTTATGGTTAGAGAAGAGGAAGGATGGTGAAAAGGGAACATCATTCATAAAAGCAAGTGCTTCTTTTGGGAGCATGAAAAGTGTATGATTTTACTTTAAGAGGAAGTGGGGAGTAGTTTTGAGAGGACTTGGAGCTGGTAATGAGAGGAGGCAAGGATAGGAATTTCTGTTGTCGCATTTCTGTAGAGAACATTAATAGTCAGTCTATTGTTAATATTTATTCATACATAGGTGTATGTTACATACTATACCGGTGATGACTGGAACAAAAAGATACAGTACTAAGGAACAAATAACAATGTACAGTATTCTAATATGATACTGTGAAAATTCATAACCTACAAAGGGTATTGCCCAAGCATCTAAAACCAAAAAGATTAAAAGAATTAGTGACTGAATGAAGTAAGCCCATCCAGCACTACAGTTAATGTCTGCTAACAATTTGTCTATTGCCACAATACTTCAACAGTAGGACACATTGTTCAAGCGAATAACTTATATAATTTACTGCAGTTCCACACCCAGAGTCTTAAGGATATCACTTCAACCATCAAAAGTTTGCCTTATATGCATCAGCCTCAAAATATACTTGTTTGAGTCTGATATCTGTTTTGCCTATACAGTATTGGTAGCAAGATTAAGTCAATCTCCTCTCAAGTGAAATCTTTCCGATTCAAAATACAGGTTGACTATCAAAAATCCGGCAACCTCGGGACCTGAGGAGTGCCGGATTTTCGAAAATGCCGGAAAACTGATGGTTATATTTGCTGTATAAGTTTAACAGAAAATGACTACCTGTACAGGCCTTTAAACAAAGAAAATTAAATATTTAAGTTAGGATAATATAATTGACATTGCTGGATTCCTTGTAAGACCAGGAATATTTTGAATATAAATGTCATATATTTTGCACAAAAGATAACATAGTTACTCTGAGAAAAATTTTTATCTAAAATTTGTATGTCTAATGCAAAATCTATGATGTTTATATTCAAAATGATCATCAAATTGTAAGAATTCCAGCAATGTTAATTATATTCTGGCCGGGTAATTTGTATGAATTTTATGAGCTAAAACAAATGTCTTCAGTTAATAAAAAAAAAAAATATTCTTCACACCGTGCCAGATGGTCGGACGGTCCCTCCTTCCCCCCCACCCCCCACCAACCCTCCCTACCAGATAAATGTGTGGGGAAAACCAGACTTTACCTTTTTAGTAATAAATAATACCTCAGACTGAAGTTAGGATAATATAATTGACATTGCTGGATTCCTTGTAAGACCAGGAATATTTTGAATTAAATTTCATATAGTTTGCACAAAAGATAACATATTTACTCAGAGCAAACATTACATCTAAAATTTGTATGTCTAATGCAAAATCTATGATGTTTATATTCAAAATGATCATCAAATTGTAAGAATTCCAGCAATGTTAATTATATTCTGGCCGGGTAATTTGTATGAATTTTATGAGCTAAAACATATATCTTCATTAAATAAACAAAGAAATATTTGAAAATGCTCTGAAATCCATGCCGGAAAACTGAAAGTTCCGGTTTATCGGTTGCCGGATTTTTGATGGTCAACCTGTACTGTACTATACATTCATCAAAAATGTTCTTCAGAGCTCAATAAAAACCTTATGTTACTAACAAGTAACTTCAATGGTTTCTCAACAAATTTTCTCAAAATTTTGCAAATTTGTCTCCATTCGAAAAGTTATCATTTTGTTGTGTTTGATTCTTTAGGAAATTTCTTTACCTTTAGAGATTCTAGTCGTCTTTACATTGGAATGATTACCTCAAAGGGGGCCAAAAAATAGTAGAAAAAGATGCCTGTTCTTAAACCTTCAGTTCGGATAACGGTCTACATTAAGAAAATGGGAACGTCCTTTTTAAGCCCATAGATTCAGTCTTAGGCGATACAGTAATCTGCTAGTAAGAAGGAAAGTCTTCTTCAGATCATCTACAAGTTCAATACAGTAGTTGAATTAAAAAAGTAGAGAACAAAGTGGAACAAATTAGTATATGCCTCTTGAGATTACTTGTAAACTCAAGCCTGAAAACTCGGTTGTCAAGAATGAAATTGAATAAAGTACAGTTGAGTCTTCATTTACGCGGTCAATTGAACCCGTGGAGGTCCGCATAAAACGAGAAACGCGTAAATGAAATAACAGAACATATGGGATTAATTGAAATAGAGACTGGGCCGACCCCCAAACTACACTTTTTCCGACACAATACGTACGTTGTAGTAAAAATAACATCTTAATTTTATGATGGTATGCACACATAATTAATAATTAAGAGAAATATCAATAATATTAGGTTTTTTAACACTTACGTTAGTAGAAAAGATGGCTGGGCACACGGGGATGGGGGGTTGGTTCCGAGACAGAGGGCAGATTATTGGCCCTCACCTGTATCACTTGTATCAATTGTATCACTATCCACTACAGAGGCTTGCAGGGCTTCTATGTCAAACCCTTCAAGGTCCATATCCTCACTATCACTGACTTGAGCTGGCTGTGGTGGGTGGCGGGTGAAGAACTCGGTAATGTTTTGATTACTGGGTGACCTTGTGCACACCCAGCCTGCGCCGCTTCCCGCGTAATTAAAGCATTTCATTCTGGCAAGGCACCGCATAAATGACCAAACGCGTTAACCAAAACCGCGTAAATCCAGACTCAACTGTATTCTAAATTTATGTCAATAAAAATAGAATACTGGAGACTGATAGTGAACATTTTTATAGGTAAACAGAAACAAAAATGTTTTCATAGCTGCAAATTTGTCTGGAACACTATTTTTCGAAAGGTTTGTGCAACCAGTCCACTAACACCAGCCTCATTTTATTAGGAAAGAGCTTTTCAACCTTCTAAAACAAACTAGAATACTTCCAAGAGAAATTACATAAAATTTTAATAAATTACTCCAAGTAGCAAAGGAAATAAATCTGACATTTTATTACATTGGAAGTGTTTTTTTCCATAATGCTGTATATACAAATTCAATTTCATAAAAGAAAGAACAGTATTAAAGCTATGGTATGTCAAGTACGAATAACTAATTATTCCAGTCATCATTGTTGATGGGTATAAGTTTACCTAAAATGCCTGACGGTTTATAATCATTATCTGGACCTAAGCTAGTGGAGCCTTGTATGCAACGTCACCTCCCTCTCCACCTCCTGCTCGGGTATTCAAGCTAGGCGTCGCATTCTGGATTGAACAAAAAGCCGTTTTTTTTTCTAAAAACCAGTTTTTGTGATATACTGTAGTCCAGAATGCAACGCCGATAACCCACCCATCTCCACCCCTCAAGAGTTGACTTTTGTTTACTGCTCACTCTAAGGCAAGAGATGAAGGTGGCAGTGCCTGTGATGGGGGGTGAGGGAGGGGGTTTTGAGAATTGCAGTTAAATGCCAAGTCCCGATGTGTCCTCATAATATTATTTAAGTATTACGTATTAGATGTTTTAATTGCCTGTATGTTGGCCTGAAGAGTTATTGCTTGGCATTAACATACCTAGGTATAAGCTAGACGTCGCATTCTGGACTACTGTATATCACAAAAAATGGTTTTTAGAAAACAACGGCTTTTTTTCTAAAAAAAATGTTTTTGTAATATAGTCCAGAATGCGACGTCTAGCTTTATGCAGCTAGACCCCGACTTACGACGGGGTTAGGGACCCAAATCCAGGTCGTAAGTCCGAATGGTCGTAAGTCCGACATAGATAAAAAAAAAATCATTTTTTTTTTTTTTAAATAAAAAATCTACAATGAAATACAGTACAGTAAAAGTAATAAGTAATGAGGAATGGATACAGTGTGACTGAGCACTTACCTTTAATGTAGTTAGCTGAATGCACATGGGGCCCCATCATTTTCTAATTATACATGGAGACTACATTAACTGGAAACGTTTCGGTATAGAAAATGCGTGTGTCATTTGAAGAAAAAAAAAAAAATGGTCACAACTGCGGCGGTCGTAAGTCCCCACGGTCATAAGTCGAAGCAGTCGTAAGTCGGGGTCTAGCTGTACCTAGGTATGTTCATGCCTAGCAATAACTCTCGAGGCCAACATACAGGCAATTAAAACAAATAATAATTACTTCCATATATATATATATATATATATATATATATATATATATATATATATATATATATATATATATATATATATATATATATATATATATATATATATATATATATATATATATATATATATATATATATATATATATATATATATATATATATATATATATATATATATATATATATATATATATATATATATATATATATATATATATATATATATATATATATATGTTAAAGTTGTATCTCACTTAACGCGTCAATAGAACCCAGAGGGTCCTGTTATGAAACCAAGTATGAACAACAGAACATATGGGATTAATTCCAATAGAAACCGCCTGACCCCCAAACTCCACTTTTTGAAGGCACATACCTATGTTGTAGTAAAAATAACATCTAATTTTATGATGGTACATGCACAACAATTAATACTTAAGAGAAATAGGAGAAATACAGTCGCCAAGTTAATGTCCATTCAAATAATGGACTCAACTCCCTCCCTCTCACACTACACTGCCGGCTCTTCCTCTCTGAGAAATTTTTGGGGAAACCACTAAATTTTAAT